CAACTGATCCAAAATCACAAATTTCGAAGACATACCACACGTATATACAAACAATACACACAAACTCGCAGATCGTGTCCCGATGGAATTCCTTTGAAGAATCGCAGGACTTACACCAGTACGCCTACAAACCTTCACAGGTTGACGATTGTAATTTGTGGAATGTCCGGACACAAACAAGATTAACCAACAATTACACCAATTGGAACTCACACAACTATTTAACACAAACATATGTACAATCAACACATCAAATGTTGTGGATTCTGACACGACAAACTACCCTTGAAGAACTGTAGGACTTACAGCAGTACGCCTACATTCCTTCTCAGGTTGATGATCCTGGTGGGATTCGTCCGGACACAAACAGAATTACCAACAGCTAGATGACAGATGATATCAATTCAGTATATACAATATGAACATATGTACAAGATCATACACCAAGCACATTGGACTGCTCATTGATGTGCTACCCTTTGAAGAACTGTAGGACTTACACCAGTACGCCTACAACCCCTCTCAGTTTGACGCTCTAGGTTGGAAAATCGTCGCAGAGTTCATTTGCTGACTTCCTTCTATCAGCTATATCCTCAAATCTGAACGGCAACACGCCCATGTCATTGTATCGTAGAATATAGATGACCAACAAACACACGACATATCTCATCAACCAAGTATAGAAACAGAGTAATTTACACCAAAGATAATAACATTCAAATAGTAACTTGAAACTAGAAGTGCCTTTATTCGTGCAAGTCCATTTTAGAATCACTCTCTCGTTTACACTTGGCTTATCCTCACTAAACTGACCATTGATATTCGTCCTTTCAAACGAACTGATACTACCATAGTCATTGAACAAGATACTTGAGTTTATGGGCGTCTGTTTCATTGTGGATGACAGCACCAACGATGACTGATTGATATCACTTGATGACGTTAGCGGTGGATCAGAAGCTGTTGTTGTTCGACTTTCAGAATGTTGTCTACCTCCAAGACCACCACCACTGCTGTCTTTTACTATCAGCTCAGGTTTAGCACTAGAATCTGATGATAGATGGGCTACACACTGATCAATTACACTGACTGTCTCACAAATATGCACACCTTCTGGAACTGCATCTGTGTTCAATTCTACTTCACGTTGTAGTTGTACAGAACCTTTATTTAACTTAGCAGTAGTAGGCATATCCCTCATCTCATAATGATCAACCAAAGACAACTGTGAAGTATCATGATCATTATCACGAATATTCACTTTACCGTCAACTTCATCATTTTCAAACTCTTTATTAACAGAAGTAGACAATTTTGGTTCCTCCTCGCAGATACTAAAAGGTTTTATAACTTCACTCTGACTAGTAATACCTTGTAAACTTGTAGGGTCAGAACTGGACTCTGAAGCAGCAACTCTATTCTGTGACACTCTATTCAACAATGGCTTACCAGTTGCAACTACAGACTTCTTGACCGCACCGTTATCGTCACACAATTCGGAGTCATGCCTGGAGTTTACATTTAGCTTATCACTGAACTTGCTCACTGGTTCACAGTTCACTTCTGTATGCACCTCTTGCAAACGTGTAAATGACAACCGTGTTTGTCTTGCATCTTGTAACTTATCTGTTGATGAGGTACTACGAAACCTGTTGCACTCACTAAGTTTATATGCATTACTAGACATCATGGAGCCTTCTCGATATCCACCTCTCTGAGGCCTACTCGTCATCAATGAGTGCGTTTTACCCTCAGACTGCTCTATTCTAGGGGTGAGATTGAATATACTGGGGAACTTGCTCATCGATTGATTGATACTATCTTTTACTAGTTTCGGCATATCATCAAACTTTGTCTCGATACCCTCATCCTCCATACGGGAGCTTATCTTCACCCACTTCCTTTGCAGTCGAGTAGGTAGACGTCTTGCTATTACTTCTAGTATAAAACTCGAGTTGAGTTCATTCATGCAATTCATCGAAATCATTCCATTCTTGTAATTTAGCAAATTATCCAAAAACTCAGTGAGTGCCTGGGAGTCATCCTGTAATTGACCACCATTACCCTTAACAGCCTCGAATAATTTCCCTGCAATCATCGAATGTCTTCCAAACCTTTGACGTAATATGCTCATAGCCTCATCGTAGCTCTCTTTCGGCTTCATAAACTTACAGCAATGTATAGCTCTTGAAGCATCTCCAGTGCAATATCTCATCAAATACATTAAATTCAATTCATCATTCAATAAAAAACCACTCAACATGATCTCAAACTCCTTTACAAATTGTAAATAATCGGCCGGGTTTCCATCAAAACACCGTGGTTCAAATCTGGGGAGTTTGATGTTCCTATTATCCGTGAACGGCGAAACAGTAACATCAACCATGTCATGCTTAACATCAGACACATCGTTACAATTAACAGACAAGTCACCATGACTTACTTTCCTGTTTGCATCCAAGACGCTGTGCACTTCTTTGACCCAGGCATTGTTGAACTTGACCCAATTCCAAAAACGTTCCAGATATTGCTTGTTCAAAGAGGACTTGACCGGCACCAGGAAAAATGAACGGCGACTATCCAAACTTTCACCAACTGTCTGAATACGCCAGATCTGTTTCTATCGTCAGAAACTGTCAGTCTCGTCTCGTAAACCGTTAATGCCCAGCTCTCGCTACGCTCGTGCCCACGCTGTTCCTTTGAGTTTCAGAAACGCTTAGTAATAACGGACGCAAAAACCAAAACACCGATCTGCTGCTTGTTATTTCTTTATTGTTACACCAACATATAAAAGGAATAAACGAACTAAGGTCTGAAAACAAATATTACAATAATAAATCATTCTAGTACTTCTGACGATGTTTCACTCTTCTTTCTGAACAGCGACCGATGAGACGATGACTGCCGTATTGATGCCTCCGCGAAAATTGGGGAAGTTGGTTTTGAGCAAACAACCATGAATTGATCGTTCAATCTTCAACTCCATTGACAATAACTGTGAAGTATCATGATCATTATCCCGAATATTCAATTTACCATCGTCTCTCTGGTTGACTTAATCATTTTCAAACTCTTTATTAACTGAGGTGTATGATATTGGTTCCTCCTCACAAATCCCTAAAGATTTTATACTTATGCTTTAATTTTTGTAGAACCGTGCTCTTCGCAACTGAGTCAAGATTAATGTGTGCTTCGTGGTCAAATTTGTGCGACTTTGCCAATCCCGTCATTGGGAAAGGACTTAGAAAGAGTGTAGAGATTGTATGACCCGCGATGTCCTGCGCCTATTACACAGAAGGCCGTATCTGCTATGTTTGAGCCAGAACATATTTCAACCACCGTCAGCCTTACTGAGCTATAAATCCCGTAACTAGACCGTGTCTGAGACTTAGCGATAAGCTATTCTGGAGAACTTTCGTCCTGGGACAGTCATTAGCACAGTGCTCCGAAGCATCGCGCCCCACGGGACTCACAAACCACGAGTTTCATCTCTGACAGATAAGAATAGCCTGGCATACTAAATGTGTGCTCGACAACCCCTGGAACGGCGTCTTATTGCACTTAACAACTGGGGGTATTCTGAGGAGCGGAAAGCATGTGACAAAAATGAACCAGGACTAATGTTGCTTGGGGGAATAAAAGTGAATCCTGATGTACTGCAACACGAAGTCTGCAAATATTACGTCAGTGGTGTTACGGCCATCACACGAAAAACTCTCACAAATGTATGAGCTCTCAGTCTTCGACCGAAATCAAGGACAAAACGGAGTTTTTCCGAATGGATTTGAATTAAAATTGAAATAGTCGAAGAGTCCGCAAGATTTGTCGTTCCATTTAACAGAAAACCTTCATTTATGGGGCTATCCGTCATCCAAATATCACGAGCGTGATGGCTGAAAACGAAATAGCTCGCGGTCAACGAGGATGTGCATTAGAACAAAAAATGTACGACAGTCCATAATGAACCGCAAATGGTGTAGTTTACACAACAATGGAATGATATATAAAGTACAACTTCAGTATCATTTTTGACGCAACATTGGAGAATCGAATACTTTATCTGACGTCTTTATAAAGGAATTCTGCTTTAAAGTCGACGCAATGGCAGTTAGAAGTACTTAGTTTTTAGTTTTTTCTGAGATCATAGAAAATATTCATATATACTTTGCGCCTCACGATGCACAAAATCATTGCACCCAAAAGACCTGGTGGAGACGTGAACCATTTGGAAAGAGTCCAAAGACGGGCCACAAAAGGGGTGATAGATCTCCAGAACAAATCGTATGATTAGCGGTCACTGACAGCATAGTGGTGTCAAAAGTACGACCTATAAGATTGCGAACGACCAGAATCACCCGAACAAAGGTATTCTGCCATTATGTATGTATGGGTCACCTCGTAACAATCCACGAAGGATAGCTCACCAGAGGGAAAGGACTGGAGTGCGTTCCATTTCTTTTCAATGCGAGTTCACCGTCCCCGGAACAGTTCCTCGGCGGATGAAGCTACGGTGCCGTCCGTGGACACCTTTAAGCGAAGGCTGGAAAATCAGGCAGCAACACGAGGACTATGTTCGAACGGCCTATCCCCTTTAAATCCCATATGCCATCCATGGGTAGACACCTGAACTCATCGGTTCACTCCACATTCCCTCTTGTCTTACTCTCCTGACCACTCTAACTATTACATTCCCTACACTATTGATGTTATAGGTATATATATATATATATATCAATTTCAAATTTGATCAGCTGTCCGCTCTTACGTTTTCCTTATATCTTTATCTGTCTTTTAGTCGACATAACCTACACTAATTTTATCTGTTGTTATTATTATCTCTTTTCTTTTGACCACGATACCGAAGCACTAACTGGTGGAAGGATTAATTCTATTCACAGTGGCAACACTGTCTTAACAGACTGGATACTACAAACTACATATAATTGATCCCAGCACCAATCACTTTTGAGTCAACCAAGGCTACGAGACGAACGGCGGGACTAACTAAGCGGAAGCTAACGAAAGATCAGAGACCTTCACCTCACAGCCAAGAAGCAAGCACGAAAAAATCGAATTGGTTTACACTAGTTCGTAAGAAGCGATATTGTATATTGGAACGTTCTCCATTTTCGTTTATAATTTTCGGGACCAATAGCCTTGAGTGTGGCAAACATTTGAATGATGTAATGTTATTATTGAATATGATTGTTCTTCTCGTGGCGGTAGCTGTGGGAGCATTTAGTGCTTCGCTGATCAATGGGGACTATAGTAGCGATGTTTGTAATTCCCAACAAGAAACTTTTGAGCCGATCATTAAAAATGAAAAAGCTTTGGAAGTAGTAGGTTTCATTTAAAATTAACTTCCACAGTTTTACTTCGTGAACGATACCAAAGAAACGATACAGTTGACGTGGGCAGGTGAAAATAGTGGAGTACGTACTATTACATTTAATCTAAATTGTTAGGTCTTAATTCTGGTAACAATGACTGAGGGTGAATCTGGTCCAGGTTTGACTTCTGATATCTACCGTAGGTAAGAGGAAGGGATTTTAATATATTTTAGTGACAATAACGGCAAAACGTTCACCAAAATAACTAGAGAGTTGGGCGAAAATATCTATATACGGCGGGAGAATGGCTTGCAGCGCCACCAGAATCAGAGGGATTCGAAAGAGGTAATTTTGTCTTAACTAACCTTCGAGGAGAAACGCAGCTATTCGTTATATGTTACGATGTAGAAAACATGAGCAAATCTATGATATTTGTTACAGAGGATGGAGGTTCGACCTGGGAAAGGTCTAGTGTACCATTTGTCTTAAGTGGTCAGTTGCGTTTCTATCCCCGTGAAAGACTTTCGCCATGGGTCTTAACTTTGGAAGAAAAAACCTCTGTATGTGCGGCCATTGTGCTTAATGTAACTTATTCAGATTCTGTATCTTTCCTTGGACAACGGAAAAACATGGAGGAGCATTCACGAGAATGTTGTAGATTACTTTTGGTTTGCCAAATATTAGTTTCATCTTATTCAATCTAGGTCCATTTATGAGTCGGATCCAGGCGAGACCATATACATACTTTATCAAACACCGCTGAGTAAAAGTAAGTTGCTTTGATAATCTCTGAACTATTTTTATCATGTTATTCCGATTTCATTTGAAAAATATAGCATCCAGATTATTTTCTAAGTTGCAAGAGATGTTCGGTCGAACCGAATCATACTTCTCCAAATAAAAATACAGCTAATTAGTATAAGTCTTAATTTTTGAGGAAAACGTATAACACTTTGCGGAATCGGCATTATTATAGAAGTAGGAGTGTCGGCTGAGAACAAAATTCTCCTAGATTAACATATTGTGCGCCTGTGTGAAGATGCATAACATTTGTTTTGGATGACAACAAAGCAACATCTTTATGTCTACTCAGCCAGTCAGATTTTGCATAGACCATCCTGGAAGATGTGATAAATAACTGTTGTCTGTACAGTTCGGTTTTATACGACATTCGCACAGCTTAGCAGTGTTGCATAATCCACCTTGGTTAACTGAGTGTAGCTGTGTGAATGCATTGCATATTTTTGGAGTGTATGGATGTGTTATAGCTTTGAGTGTTGTGAAAAATAAGATATTTTCAAACATTTACGAAGAATTACGTGAGGAAGTTGTTGGCTTTGGGCTGTCATTGCCTTCTGTTCCAGTTTAACTGTTTTTGGAGTTTTCGAGTCGTATAGATGTTACCAGACCGACAATGGGGATGTCTACCAAGATATATTCTTTCGTGAACTTAATATTATCTGACCTTTGTAAATTTCAGTACGATGCCAACTAAATCTGGCAATTTTTATGTATATCAACAACGTGTACCTTGTTTGTGCGTTTTCATCTCAGTTATCTCTCTGAAAGCTCTGTTGGTCCGCATTAAGTTTATGTGTTCATCATTATGCTCGTTCAATAGAAATCATGCGTTTATATAAAATCATGCAGATATATTCACTGCGAATGACGCAGGTTGTCAGAATGAGTTTTTTATATCTAAGGAATTGAAAATATCACATTTCAATCTGTCTTTTGGTAGAACTCTGGTGTATCGTATGTTGCACTCTCCATAATTAGGATTGGAATTGTGTCGTTTAAATCTTCACGGACTTTAATTTCACTTTTTCACTGAACGTTTTCATTAATTTATGTATGATTATTGAGTCGAAAAGGCGTGGGAAAATTCTAAAATACACTTTATTGCTTTAAATAGATGGAAGTGAGAAGCACGTACTAGCCAAGTCTTCTGATTTGGGATTAACCTGGTCTGAGCTTCTTAGGGATGTAATCCGGGTATGGGCACCTCGTGGGATCAAAGTTGATATTCCAAAGCCGCACGACAAGAGCATTATCTCATTTGAGCCAGAAACAGTCGGAGATTATGAAACAATTAAACTGGGGCACTTTCTCTATGCTTCACACTACTCAAACTCTGGAAACAGAACATTGCAGTTAAGTGTATCAACTGATGGGGGGAAGACATTTAATAAGGCCCACTTGCCAACAATACAGTCAGAGCGGGTGAGTGAACGCATTCTTCAATATTTTTCGCCGTTAACACAACACAAACAACTTGGTGCACTATGAGATTAATCAATCTTAATTACGTTCCCAAGTTTTGTGTGATTTGAAATATCAGTCATTTTCCTTTGTTGACTCATTAGACTGATTGTTTTTCGATGTCAAGCATACGACTGTAAGTTGTACCGATATCCATGCTGAAAATTCCGTACTTGTACCAAAAATACAGTGTGAAATCAAGCTGTAATCAAAAATTAAAAAATTAAAATTAATTAAATGAAAAAAGGTCTAAATCTGTAGCATTTACGGAAATATTCACTTAGAAACAACTGGATTATCAAACATTCAACTGCAGCAAATTTAGCTTGAGGTTTCTTAGTATCAGAAGTATTTCGTGATTGCAATGTGTGTACTTGGCAGACCTGTGTGAAATGTTCCAAACACGCGTGATTTCACAACGGAAATCACGTCTGCAATTATTACAGGACGCAGTTTTACCATATTGCAAAATTCAACTGTAAGTATTAAACGGTAGCTATACAATAATATAATAGCAATGTAATAATATATTTACCACTGGGCCCGAATAGCTCAGTGGTAACGTTTGTGACTGTAGCACTGGGTGACACGGTTTCGAATCTTAGAAGGGACATGAGTTCCTTCAAGGTTGCAGATACGCCTCGCTGATGGGTGCCCACTAGCACGAAACACGAAGGCTTGCTGGCGGTTGCCTTCAACCATCTAATATTTGTTTCTGCCGGTATAGTTCTCTCTGTCACTGTGACGTGATAATGCAGTCACCAGGTTACTTTTCAAAGTGCTATAGCATAATTTAAACGATAGTGATGTTTCAGTTTACGTAGTCATTTATATTAACAAAGACCGCAGTTTTGATTGTTAAATATCTAAATCTGTTAGATATGCTTATAAGTTTCCAGATCGTAAATGTTACGAAGTTTCTAGAATAATTTCAGTGCCGAGTCAGATTGATTCATTATTTTAAATAATTTATAGTGTTAGATATGATGTTTTAATATGCAGATATGTCGATATGACGCTTCTGTTGAACGTCTTTTAATTGCGGTTCTGCGGAGGAAGATTTATTGGCAGATAGCACAGAATTTTAGTAATACTACGTATAGGTTTGTCAGATAGAGTTAAAAAATAATGTCACCCTAAAGTGAGAGTATGTGCGTCGGTGGTATAGCGGTTAGGACGCTCGCCGACCATGCATATGGTCCGAGGTTCGATCCCCGGCCGGTGCACTCCTTTACCTCACTAAGCCAGAAATAATGCTGGTAACGAGGAAAGGTTGGGCATGAGGCTAGCAACCCCATCCTCTGGAATTAAACACTGCTACAGAAACTTCAAGCCACTAGCTTGATGCCCTATGTTCCACTGGGAACGTGAAGGAAAAATTATTATTATTATTAAAGTGAGAGTATAATACTGGATGCGGTCATACTAAATGGGAGGCTGGACATAATCTCTTCTGTTTTAAACTAAAGAAGTCAAAGTAAATAAAGTGAGAATGCGTGGTGTTTCCGTACGGGAAGCCAAACTAGCGGCATTACAAGACTTGAGTATACAGAAATTCAAAACTCATCAAGTATGCTAAACATGGAATTTGACTAAACGTGAAAGCAAAAGTATAATGTTAGTTCAAATTGTTTGCCACTGTCAAACAGACATAGTCAATTATTTTCTTGGGCATATAATATTACATTGTGTCAGATGACTGTATTCTTAAAGAAACCACTTTGATATCTCATCTTATGCTACTGCTTTAATGGGTAAAATTGACCTGCCACTACCAGAGCACTGTTAAGATGCTTTAGTTTGAGATTTGGGTGTACTTTTATTATGATATTTGGTCATTGACAAATGGGTCTCGTTAGTCTATATATTTCAGTCTCCAACCGACAGGCTACTTGTTTCACTATTGTTCTTCTATCTACAGATAGTAAATATTCTCATTCTTATCAGAATAGGTGTAATGTATAGTCTTGTAGCCATAAAGTAATAAACACATTCAATCAAAAAGCTCTTAAGTGAATAAAACACACCATAAAGACTTTACTGTTAAACCTCTCGTTAAATATAATTAATTTATGTTGGCCAAGATTTCGCTCACAATAATTTAAGCTAATTTATTATTGCTAAAATGATCCTTGTGAAATTTTACAACCTCAGGATTAACAATAAAAATGTCGTTTAAATAGGTATTACCTCTGAATGTATTTTTCTAATATCGAATACAGTTTAACTCTAAATCGATCAATAGATAATAAGTAAACAGATATTACATTGTTTATAAATGTATAAGATTGATGTACTACATGACATGATACTTGTTCCTATATGTGTGTGATTGGGCCTATGTATATTTCAATTTTCGCATTGTTTTGCTTATTTCATACACCCCTTGTTTGGAAAACGTGTCTATATGCCATTTAAATAAGTATACCGTGCATGCTATTTATTAAGTCCATTAAACCTGAATAGAATTTTATCTAGTTACATTGGTCACAATATAAATTACTTTACTATTATACGAAAATAAGGATTATTGTACAAGTTTCGGGATGAATACGTATAATATCTTCTTGATACATGCATATAAGTCTAAACAACTATCAAATATTCATTGATGATAATTTCCTGTGCTAGGTACAAAAATGTGCACATATATATGAATATATAAGTAAATCGAGCTGTATTCCGACTGTGACAACCATAAAATAACGAAAAACTGTATCATTTTCTAATCACCTAAAGCTTAGTGTTTTGACCAGATAGAACAATATGTAGTTCGACTGACAGAAATCAGTAATAAACTTCTTCTAACTACTGTTTGAAGTTTAGCTAATAAATTATGCGGTGCTTAAGTAGTATGATACTAGTTATTACTATTCAATAGTAACTAACCAAAAATGAGATTTATTTAACATACCTTTTTGAGATGTGTCAGTCGGATATTTGTGGATGACAAGCTCGTAAAGTAGTGGGTTAAACACATTTCTAGTGTTCAAATCACTATACCGTATTAGCAGGAAATGTGTTGTTTCGTGTGGAAAGTTTGTAATTGATCTTTTTAGCCTGTAATATATATGTATATCCTTCAGATTTTGTTACCACTTATTTGATGTCTCTTTTGGGCATTGCCCACTGTATTTGCTTTAAATTAGGTTACTCCCATTATGGATAAAATTTCATTTTAACAAAGTCACACAGTATGATACAGCAATACTGACTGATGACCAATCCTCGAGCACAAATTATTGCTCATAATCATATCAAGTCACTCATACAACTTTTTACTTTATATATATATATATATATTCCTTCACGTTCCCAGTGGAACATAGGGCATCAAGCTAGTGGCTTGAAGTTTCTGTAGCAGTGTTTAATTCCAGAGGATGGGGTTGCTAGCCTCATGCCCAACCTTCCCTCTTTACCAGCATTATTTCTGGCTTAGTGAGGTAAAGGAGTGCGTCGGCCGGGGATCGAACCCCGGACCATATGCATGGTCGGCGAGCGTCCTAACCACTGTGCCACTGACGCACACTTCATTTATATACACATGAGTGAAACTGATAATGAGTCATTTCAATAAAATCAATATGAGATGATAAAGTACATTCAGAAATAATATTAGTGTTATCAGTCAAATATAATCAGATGGGAAATAAGACGAGTGTTTTTATAGTCAAAATAGGTAACTTGCTAGAATGTTATGATGTGAATTGAAAACATTTTAACATTATTTATTATGCTGTGATTTGACTGGCAATATTTTGCGTTGAGTCACTTCTGTTGCATGTGTTGGATGTAGACTCGATGAACCAGGATTAAGTAATTGATCTCTCTCTCCACCCACCTACCTACCTATATTACTTCTTAGAATTTGAATCCTCTCCCACGCTATTGTGTGGTTGCGTGTTAGTGCATGCAGTGCAATTGCTGAGTTTTTTTTCTAAATTATCTATCATCTTGGGATCAATTATATATATATATATATATATATGAATGCAAATTAGAGGTTTTAACTGGCAAACAGTACATGAGGCTTATAAATTAATTAATGTGGTGATGACGCTTAGCATTTTATTTAAAGGAATTCAATAACTAATTTATTCAGCCTATCTTTAACTCCATATAGGTTAAGTGAATCGGATCTAGATGAATGATTTTGAAGTTGGTAGTTAAGTGCGTATAAAATCAAATCTCTAAGTAGAAATTTTTTCGCAGGATCGTTCCTAATTCATTTTATATTTGGAATTTTTAAGGAGCATGTGGCGTGATTGTGAGTTGAAAAATCTTTGGTTTCTATTATTTCAAAATCTTGAAAAACAGTATTTTGACTTTATTCAATAAAAACAGTATATATACTAATAGCGATACATTTCACTGGTGAAATTTATTTGCAGAGAAAATGGATTTAAAAACACAAGTTTTGGCATGATTCGTACTTATCACTTAGTCGCATCTGTTCCTTAGTCAATCTTGACTCCTTAAGTTGAAACTGACAATGAATTTGAAAACAACCTTTCTGTCCTAAATACAATTTGCTTTTATTATTACACTAAATATTATTTAATTACTTGAATATTATTCACAGGAGCACGCTAATTTTCAAGCACACATTTGGAATTAGAAGGACATTATGGATTTTTGAACTGCTAAAACTGGATAAGTTGATGTCAGTATTCCTTTTTATCGTGTGCTACTTTCATTTAAGTCTCTCCAATTAATGAAGATTTGATTTGACTTTTTTGTGTGTGTGACAGTATCTTAAAAGTTGATTGGCAGTGGCTTTTCACTGTTTAATTAGATTTCATTAGGTCTTCAGTTCATCAGTCGAATCGTTTTGCTTTTTTTGCACACTGTATTCATTAGGTCTAACTATGCTACCTGTATTTGAAGGTAATTGCACTGATACGAATATTACTACTGACACATTATTTGAGTAGTAATCGTCTCGATATTCTATCAGTACT